ATAAGTTAATGTAGTACGTATAGTAGGTAGAAAATTTAAATTTGACTCTATAGAAGAAGTTGAATCTAAGCCAAAACTCACCCCGCCTTCGAAATAGGATTTCATTGGCATCGGAAGCAAATTGAAAGTGGGGGGGGGGGGGGGGGGGGGGGGGGGGGGGGGGCCCCCCCCGGGGCCCCCAAAAAAAAACGACAAGCAAAAAAAAAAAAAAAAAAAAAAAAAAAAAAAAAAAAAAGAAAGAAAGAAAAGAAAAGAAATGTCCATTTTCCGAACTAAAATATTCAATTTCGTGGGGGTGGGTGAGGGGGGGGGGGGGTTGGTTCGAACTCCAGTGCCAAAGTTTTTTTTCCCATACACCACCACTTTCCCCATTTTAAACCTATACTGCATCGTGCCCATGGCAAGTGGGGGGGGGGGGGGGTTATAACCTATGCAGGAACGTCTGTACTAAGTCTATCTCTGGAAAAAAAGTGGGGACTAAGTCCACCCCCCTCCACGGTTCCGACGCCTAGTATGTATTTTCAAGTTTTTTTTGCGCTTGTCAAGATGTTTTCAGCCGGGTACTTTAATATTTATTCTCTTGTTGCCCCCTCCCCACTTTCAAAAACTTACAATGCTACGTTACTTTTCTCTCGCCTGAAAAATATAACTCTATTAAAGTTATTTGTTGGATAATTGAATTCTAGTTTAATTGATATAAAAATGTTCAATATTTTGATACTAGTTAACCCTCATAAATTGGGTTGTTTTTCAGAACCTTCCACTGAACTGAAGTTTATTTCATGACAGATAGTAACTGCTCATGTGCGTGATTCTAGGGGCAGGGCTTTGCAAAGGAGTGAGGAGCGTTAATATGGGTAGGCAGGCTCGGATCCAAATTTTTTTTCCAGCGGGGGGGGGGGGGGGGCACCCCAGCCCAAAAACAAAAATTCCAATCCCAGAAATTACTTGACGAGCATAAAAAAACCTAAACTCGCCCAAACGTCAAAATCCAATTTCGAAGGGAGCGTTTAACTTTTTTCCTTGCTTTAGTATATACATTTTTAAACCTTGTAAATTCCAGGGGGTCCTTACACCCCACCCCCCTCTAGATCCGCGCATAGTAGGCGAAGTAAGAACTAGGCTTCATGCATCCAGACATACTAGAAACTCCCTGGTCTTATTTTCAGCGTTAATATTTCTTATCAAAATAGCACTTAATTTTCAATAAAGGAAGAAATATCTTTAGTACGCATCGTATTTGTGATCAGCCAGGAGAGCTAAAAAAAATCTTAGAACTCGAAAATTCTGTTTGGTGGTGGTGAGGGGGGGAAGGGGTCGTCAACTTTTTTACAGGCTAAATTTTACTCATACCAATAAGTACATGACTTTTAATATATAAATTGACAATAAGTTCTGCAACAAAAAGGGTAAGACAGGGACGTAGTATCAGAGGGGGGGGGGGCAGGGGGGAGGGCTCCCCTCCCACTTTTCCCCCGACATTACCTTTACAATAGAAAATGTTTACTTAAAGGAAGATTACCCCCCCCCCCCACATTTCACCACAGTGGATATAAAAAAAATTTCCCCCCAAAAAAAATTGGAATTGAAAAATAGTTGTTCTTGAAAAAAGTTAGCCACTTTGCCGGTGGAGCTAGAGCTGCAAATTTGTCCTATATACTTGGCACTTATAGCCATTGAGCAATGAGGGATCTTTTCTTGTGCCAGCACCTACTGCGACACGGGACCTCGGATAACAATGTCTAGATCGATGGATTGAAATCCACATCCTACAGTGGGATTCTTACCCACGACGTATTGATCGACTCTTTACTACTGTACTTCGTGACTCTAGAGCAGACGCCGTAACCACAGTGCCACGCAGGCGACTTAACCCAGGGGTTAGGGGGGGGGGGTGTCATAATCCATATGGACTCGTGAAGATTATCTATATTTAACTATTGGTTAAAATGATTTAATTATAAAGCACTTTTAGAATGATGTCATTTAAATATTTATTCATACAGGTGTGATATGTATAGGACGGATAACTTTTCTTCAAAAACTGAAAACGTTCGTATATATAAACATCGTTTTACGATTAAAAAACTATTCGGGGGAGGGGTTGCTATGAAGGGGGGATTGCTATATATAGCAAGATTTCCCACGGAAGACTAGCTATACCCCGGGGGAAGTCCAAGTGTATAGTCTTCCAAAGGAAGCATCACTATGTTTCACTTCAAAGGGAAATCTTACCATCTAGGACTTTCGAGGGAATGGCATGTACATATATCGGGTACATACCTGAACTAATAACAAACATCATTCATTTGAAAATTTAAGTTCGATCGATAAAGTATTAAGGCAAAAAATTGGAAAAAAACTCGAATAACCCCGGCCCGGTTTGCTTACCTAATTTTACCAACACTCTTAGCGAACACCCCTGCCACCTAGCGTTATAATGCGGCACTAAATTAGGACAACTCGTATTCGTCTTCATTGAATATGCTTCATTGTTTGCGTGATTGAGTTAACGTTCGTAATAGAAATAATCATTTAAGATACTGTATCAATTTAAAATAAAATAAAATGACTTAACAAGAATAAAGAAACATAGAAGTAAGGACGAAATGAAGAAGGATAAAAGTCAAAGTGAAATGTAATAAAGACGAATATGAAAACAATAAAGTGACATATAATTACAATAATAACAAAGCATAAAGAAGTAGGCAGAATAAGAATAAAAGCAAGATACATAGACTTTTGGCGGTAATTCCCTTCCATACTTTATATTGTGTTAACTCTTTATCATGTGGATTCCAAGTTCATTACCTGATGCAAAAATACATTTACATTATCTCAAAGCTGTATATCTAGTATATAATAAATGTTGACGACCGTGTTTTAATGACTGGTAAGAAGGGGGGGGGGGGGGTCGTGATTGATTAGGACAAATTACAGGCACATAATATCAACCCCCCTCTTTTCTCAGACATAACTTTACTATAGAAAATGTAATGTTCATTGAAATTGTACAGCCCCCCAACCCCACTTCTTGTTGAAATATAGTCCACTAAGGGTAATATAATAGATCTGGAAAAAAAATAGGATTGATTGAAGTTGGACCACTCTCCCCGAAATAGGATTTTCGGGCTTGGACATTTTTTTTCTTGGCTTGTCTAGTTTTTTCGGATAAATGATTTTTTTTACTGGCTGACCTCCTCTTTCAAAAAAATGATGCTACGTCACTGGAGTTAGTAATTTTTTTTAATCATTCCAGGGTACAAAAATCTACCAGTCGCTCATCTAAATCAATTGCCTTAGTAAGCATGCATGGGCACATATCAGTGGCAGATATGGGAATCTTGAACAAGGAAGGGAGGCGGTATATGGTTGGAGACCAAGGGCGAAAAGCGGAGAAGCTCTCAGGCTTTATAGTTTTATAGAAAAAAGTTTTCAACTTAATTCAGCTAAACTTAATGTGAAACTAATGCAATGTCCTACAAAGTTTAAGACTTTTATATATATAAAAAAAAATAAATAATAAAAAAAAAATAAAAATAAAAATAAAAAGAAAAAAATTATTGCTGCACGACTCATAATATTTGATTTATTTAATTATCAGATTAAAGTAAACACCATTGAATTTCGACGTGACTTTAATTCACAGTCGCAGTGTTAAGGCTTTGCATGTTTCAAGATTGTCAATCATTTGTCGCTTAAAGTTTTCATTTAAAGATGTCATTCCGAAATCGCTGAGAATCTCTTCTACGACAGTTTTCCCGCCATTTTAGTGCTTGCGGAACGCGGAAAATACGTTATGCTCATATAAAGACCGAGGATACCCGCGTTCGCATAACGTAATAGTGAATCGACATAATGTAGAAGAGTGCGCACAGTATGGCATGAGCTTTTCACATCAGTTAATAAAAACTAAGATTGTCATAAAAAGTAAACATAACGAAATGCAAGTTGACGAAATAAAATTGTAGTATATGTAAATGTCATAAAGAGTTGATATAATGTAAAGGAAAGTTAACACGATGCAATAGTAGTGTGGGTTAATGTCATAAAGAGTTGACATAATGTAATGGAAGGTTGGCACAATGCAATAGTAGGGTGGGTTAATGTCATAAAGAGTTGACATAATGTAATGGAAGGTTGACACAATGCAATAGTAGTGTGGGTTAATGTCATAAAGAGTTGACATTATGTAATATTATACTTTCATGTAAATTACTTGAATCTGATTCGTCGAGAAACATTTGATAAAGAACACTACTTCCCGCTGAATAATGAAGCCACGCCCTTTTGCGTAGCAACGGTCAACATTGCTTGACGACGGGTGGTATTACAAAAAATAGCGACTGCGCGGAAGTTATGCGCGCACGGTTCACTGTAATATGTATTTGTATAAAACATTCAGTATAATATAATAAATATTGCATGTAGTTGAGTGTAACATTGAAAATTTTCACCCCTCGAAAACCATTGTCAACCTCGGCTGCGCCTCGGTTGACAATGGTTTTCTTGGGGTGAAAATTTTCAATGTTACACTCAACTACATGCAATATTTATATAATGGAAGCTTGACACAATGCAATAGTATTGTGAGTAAATGCCATGAAGAGTTGACATAATGTAATGGAAGGTTGACACAATGCAATAGTAGTGTTCTGCTATAAGGCAGTGACGGCGTTCCATAACTGGACATTCTTCAAACTATTTGTCACAGAGTAAAGTAAAGGTATAGACTTCTTTTCTCACTTTTGAGTTCGTAGTGCAATTTGAATATGGAGCAAAGTTTACAAAAATGTGTGACAAAATATGCTCCAGTAACGTTTTGAACTCGAAACTTCAAAGACATGTTTTTATAAAAAAAAATCAATGTCCTCTTTTTAGAATGGTTTAAAGAAGTCATAATTTACATCTTTATTGCTTTAATCATTTCCATTTTTTATGAGACACTATTTTTAAACACAAGAGGCGTGCTTTTCGCCAGTGTTTGGAGTGATATTCGATAGGCTAACTGACCGAGTTGGAGTGTGTGTGTATTGTGATCGCTGACACAGGACAAATCATGCCCTCAGGTGACCAGACGACCAGTGGGGCACCGACGGGGGTGCAGACAGGCCGCTAAAGAAAATATTTTTAACCACAACAAGAGTGCATGCATTCACACACGTGTTTTTCTTTTCTTTAACTTGGTTCTTCGTTCACTGGGACATAACTTAAAGTGACCGAGGAAAAAAGATGTTTGAAGTTCAGAAAACCCAAGATGAAATATAAGCTTTCTTCCAAGTTTTACGTTACATAAGTTAAAAGCAGGATTGACTAGCATACCTTCTTTATACAATCGGACAGGGTGTCATGTACACTGACCAGCGGTAATGTAAACTGAACAACTCAGAGAGAGAGGGGAGAGTGTGCTTATACGCCAGAAAATGAACCATGATCGTCTTACTCCTGCAATGGGGTGAGTGTCTCTCTCTGTCGGTCTCTCTCTCTCTCTCTCTCTCTCTCTCTCTCTCTCTCTCTCTCTCTCTCTCTCTGTCTTTTTCTCAATCTGCTCTAGAATACAAATTTAATTTTGATATTTTACTTTATTCTTTGATTCTGTAATCTCAGTATTTACAAATGCTATTATTATTTGAATAAAATAACCAACATATATTAAGGTATAGTGCCTCCTAATTTTTTCTTATAAATTTTAGATTTTGGAGGACCTGGATTTTGCCTTTGGTAGCAGTATGGTTAGCTGTTTATATTTACAACATTCCCTCTCCCATTAATCCAGAACCTTACAGGTATAGATACAATATAAATCTATTAGAATAGAGAATATAATTGTACACCCCTGTAATATTTTTCAAAAGCAAAGATATTTTGTATGAATTAATTAATAATACATACTGTACATAAATGGCACATGCCAACCATTTTAAGACATTATTACTATATTAATTATATGATCAGTGCATGTATATATACATAAATTTTCTGTGTATTAATGAAACTTTCCTTATAATTATTATAATTATATTTCACATAAATTTTATAAACTGTATCAAAACCATAAAGATTTCAGAGAATGTATATTATTTCAAAAAAGTCATAATTAATCAATTGATTTTAACAAATATGCTTTAAGTCTAATATTTCAAAGTTGACCTCTATTATCCATAAAACAGTCAGAAACTTTAATTTAAACAAATAATGAGTTAATTGATTTAATGGAAATCTTCTCTTCAGATTAATTTTTAGCTCACCTGAGCCGAAGGCTCAAGTGAGCTTTTCTTATCAAAATTTGTACGTCGTCTGTCGTCGTCGTCGTCATTGTTGTTGGCGTTGTCGTTGTAAACTTTTTACATTTTCATCTTCTTCTCAAGAACCACTCGGCCAATTTCAACCAAACTTGCCACAAAGTATCCTAAGGTGAAGGGGATTCAAATTTGTTAAAATGAAGGGCCACCCCCTTATTCAAGGGGAGATAATTCAGAAATGGTGAAAATTTGGTGGTATGTTTTAAAAATCTTCTTCTCAAGAACCACTGTGCCAGGAATGATGAAACTTATACGGAAGCATCCTCAGGTAGTGTAGATTTAAGTTTGTTCAAATCATGACCCCCGGGGGTAGGGCTGGGCCACAATGGCTGATCAAAGTTTTACATAGAAATATATAGGGAAATTCTTTAAAAATCTTCTTCTCAAGAATAGCAAAGGCATGAATGATCATATTTATATGGAAGCATCCTCAGGTAGTGTAGATTCAAGTTTGTTCCAATCATGACCCCCGGGGTTAGGGCGGGGCCACAATGGCCGATCAAAGTTTTACATAGAAATATATAGGGAAATTATTTAAAAATCTTCTTCTCAAGAATAGCAAAGGCATGAATGATCATATTTATATGGAAGTATCCTCAGGTAGTGTAGATTCAAATTTGTTCCAATCATGACCCCAGAGGGTAGGGCGGGGCCACAATGGCCGATCAAAGTTTTACATAGAAATATATAGGAAAATTCTTTAAAAATCTTCTTCTCAAGAACCACTGTGCGAGGAATGATGAAACTTTTATGGAAGCATCCTCAGGTAGTGTAGATTCAAGTTTGTTCCAATCATGACCCCAGAGGGTAGGGCGGGGCCACAATGGCCGATCAAAGTTTTACATAGAAATTTATAGGGAAATTCTTGAAATATCTTCCTCTGAGGAATAGTGAAGCCATGATTAGTCATATTTATATGGAAGCATTCTTAGTTAGTGTAGATTGAAATTTTTTCAAATCATGACCCCTGGGGGCAGGTTGGGGCCACAACATGGAATCCAAGTTTTACTTAGAAATACCTGGTATGTTGAAAAATTCTTTAAAAATCTTCTTTTCATGAATGGCAAATTAAAGCCATGATTAGTCTGTCATATTTATTTGGAAGCATTCTCATGTAGTGTAGATTCAAGTTTGTTCAAATCATACCCTCTTCCCTATACAGATTGTTTGGGACCAATTTTGGGTTAAACTTTTCAATAATAAACTGATTTCTGCTTTTTTTCAAGCTACAGTACTCAGGTGAGCGATGTGGCCCATGGGCCTCTTGTTTTCTATTTTTTTGTTTTGGTAGTTATCCCAAACCTTTGCCTGAATTGGTGGGGCCATTGACAATTAACTCCCATCTTAGGAATGCAACAAGAGCATTTGAAGGGGAGATCGCTGGTCCAGAGTCTTTTGCCATAGGCTCAGATGGTAAGATTATAACGTTTGGAGGTGCTTGTTCTGCCTTGAATATTTTCATAAACAAATAACTAATATTGCCTTTTCTGATAAATTTGACTTAATTAATTAATATATAGCAAATAAATTTAAAATATATGTAGCTTATAATTTTTATGAGGGGTGGGTGGTGTAACAAGTATATATACTATTCAAGAAATTGCAATTAATTTAGCTTTACTGCAACTTAGATCTACTCATTTGTAAAAGAAATGGACCAGGAAATAATGTCTTGAGATTATGAGGGAGAGCTCATAAAATTATTTTTAAAATCAACCTTTTATCAAGAAAAGATTACCAAAGGAAAGATGTGTTATTGATCCTAGATGAAAATGTAAAAAATAATTTTTCTTCATTTTTCCCACCAAGGAGTCCTATACACAGGCTTAGCTGATGGAAGAATAGTAGGATTCAAAGGGGAACAACTCTGGGAGGTAACAAGGATAGGAGAGTTCCACCCACAATGTGGTAGGTACAGTGGATCCCACTTAATCCAATAGTAAATTTGTCAGCCTTCTGTTATCAGAATAGCCAAATATTAGAATAGCTGATTACTCCATTTCGAGTCCAAACAAAGATGTATAGAGCTACATGTATTGACAATACCCCGGTACATTGTAGCAAATTTCAAACTTGCACTTTTGTTTTCGTTTGATTACTTTACCTAAAATAAAATGTAATAAAAATGGAGCACAATAGACTTTCGTGATAACTGCGGTACTGCTCTTTTGCAGGGCAATTATTAATTGAGTGAATGCTTAAGTAACAATATTTCTTCTTTCCTTATAAAGGTTGTCCGATCTAAAATCTATACTTTTGTAGAGTATATACGAGGGTTGTCCCGTAAAATCGTGGACAAGTTATCTAGTGTGAAAAATAAACATCACTGCGTTTTGAAATTTTCACTATTATTTAGTACATATTTTAATAATATACACAGCAAATTTCAGATAAATATATGCGTAAATAAACAAATTATGAGATTTTATGCGATGTATTGTATCAACTTACGGCGCATGGATTATAACGTCAAAGTGTCTAAAACAGCGTCACGTTTTATCTTTGCTGAAAATGAAGCTGGGTGAGTCCGACTTAAATTTAGGAATTTCATTGATACACTTTCTGTAGTCTCCATAAACAGCCGAAGAACCAATTGGCACCCTCATGCGATCTTCTGAAGATTTATTAGTAAATTACGGACAATATTCTCACCATCATTCAACTAATAGAAAATCTCAAATCGGCGGTCTACTGTGACAGCGTCCTTTGCTATTACATTAGGAGTTTGTCCGTATGTTTTGTACTCCCCAGGGACTCGATCAGAAAAAAACTTCGCTAAGAAAACTCCTATTTCATTTGTATACTTAAGATATGGTGATATTTTTATAATCTTTTTTCTTCTATGGTCATTTCAAGTCTCTAAAGGTGTCATTACAACATAGAAATAAAACTGAGCAGTTCTCCAGTGCGCCGTAACGTCACAAAACGTCGCCATTTTTCGTGTGTTGTATTTACCATTTTCCCATTTCGAATACTCGAGAAACTGCCAAAAATTAAGCAAATGCCTTAAAATTTTTACAAAGACTACAAAATTGATTGTGGAATTGAATTAGGATAATTTTAATCCAAATCTTATGTATTTAAAACTTTTATTGTGATTTCAAACTTGTGTATTCTTTAATAAACCCTCGGTTTTTTGACCGTGCGCCGTAGGACAATACCTCGTGCACATTCAAGCATCATAATATCTTTATTTTTGCCTATATTTATTCAAAAAAAATTATCATGCACTTAAATATGATAAATAAACATTTACTGAAATTTTCAGCTTAGTGCGCGCCCATTACTTTTCGAGAAAAACGCTCTGTCCACGATTTTACGGGACAACCCTCGTACATGTAGATTTAAGACTTAGAAACTCTTTTCTAGCTAGCAAAGAAGCTTAATCAAATGATATAGATTTTCTTTTTTTGTGAAAAAGGTAACTAGGTAAAATAATTTGGAAATAATAAAAAATAGAAAAAAAATTGGAATGATCTAGCTAACTAATACTAGTATATACATAATGTATATACTAGTATTAGTTAGCTAGATCATTCCAATTTGTCATATAGTACATTTAGCCAGCAAAGCCTGAAATAACGGGATATAATGGTATCTTGAAGGTACATTCGAGTTTGAGCCTATCTGTGGGCGGCCCAAAGGAATGAAGATCAACACAGCGGACCCCTCCCACCCCCTTATTGTGGTCGATTCCTACAAAGGACTGCTACAGGTGGACACAAAAACGGGGGAAATACAAGTCCTAGTTTCCAGTACCACAGGTTGTTACAAAAAAGTAGGACAGAAATTAAAATATCCACATTTATCAAAAGGAATTTGAAATACTTGCCATTTCTGTCATTTCAGTAATGTTGACTTCATTTTTTAAAATTTATTTTTAATCATTAATATTTTGTTAAACCTGGACTTGTCAGTTCACTGCATGCATGTGCATGTCCATAATTTAAGGACCAGAGTCTCTTCAATATATAGGAATTAAAAAAAAAAAAGTACATTTACCAATTGTTAATCCTGAAATAAATAAATTTTAAACTTTACGTGCATATTCCCATTTTCTATTGCGTATGACATTACAAACAAATACTTAAAAACATTTGTTTAATCCATGATAATTAGCTATATGGATTTCATTGGATCACTCCTTTTTTTCAATAGGAGTAAATGGTGAGGCTTTCACATTCCTGAATGCTTTAGACATTTCAAAGGATGGTATCATATACTTCACAGACTCCAGCAAGAAATGGGATAGGAGGAATTATCGATACGAGGTAACATTGAGGTTCGAGGTTTGATGTGATATGTTTACTTATAAATGTTGAAATGTTTGAAATACACACCAAACAACAGTTACCAATATTTCTTTTTGTATGAACCATCAAGCCTGTATTGATTTGCTCCAAAAACATGATTAGATAATGAGAGGTTTAAGGTTTAAGAATTATGAGTTATTGGCCATCGAAAGAATTTCTATGGTAAAACAATCTGTTCTATTTTCTTTCTATCCTCTCTCTTTTTTTTTGCTTTTACAGCACAGCTCTGTGATTACAACAGATGGTCATAATTTTTTTTTTATTACACAATAAACTGTTAAGAAGAAGCTCTAGCTCTATGGATAGGATAAGAAAAATCTGAAAACTTCTTACTCAGCTATACCAATTAAGTTTTACTGTGTTTTGAGATAACATATTGGAGATGATAAAATCAGAGCTTGTACAACTTTTCTTTTTTTTTTAGCTGGAACATAGTGAATTATCATATATTCTCATCCTTACATGCATGCATGGTCATGTTTAAGCATCTTTAAATTAAAACAAAATGTGATTGTGAAACACTGATGCCCCCATTTGGCAGCTTTATTATGACAAGGGTTGAATTTTTTGCTAATGCAGATTGCAAATCAAAGGTCAAAAGGTCAAAATTGTTGGTATCCAAAGGAATGTCTTGTCTAATAAACCTGACACTGGTGAAATATGAAAGCCTTAATTATTAGTATTAACTGCTCAAAAGTTATGGTCAAGGTTAAAGTTTTTTTAATAAAAGTGGGTCAAACTCTAAGGTCAAGGTCAAATCTCAAAAATATTCAAACCCATCATAAGGTTTAATCACAATTAATACACATGAAATATGAAGCCCTATCACCACCTATTCAAAAGTTATGGTCGCGAGGTTTAAGTTTGGTAATTTTAATTTTGTAAATGTGGGTCAGTCTCCAAGTCAAGGTCAAGATGTCAAATTTGGTGGTAACAAAAAAAGGTCTTGTCACAAGAAATACACTTGTGAAATATGAAAGCCTTAGCACCTCCTACTCAATAGTGAAAGATTTTGAGGAAAAACAGACAGAGATGAGATGGACAGACAGGACAGAAAGTATATATATATATATATATATACCCCTCAGTCTGTAATTACATGGACATAAAAATTCAAATCCTAAATAGAGAGAGAGAGAAAGTGGGAGAGAGAGAGAGAGAGAGAGAGGAGAGATAAAATCTTTAATCAGATATTGTTTTCCCTAGGTTATAGAGGTCAACAGACAAGGTCGGCTGATTCAGTACAACACAGTTACCAAGGAAACCAAGCTGTTGCTAGACAACCTGTACCTGGCCAATGGGGTGGCTCTGTCATCAGATGAGAGCATACTGGTCATCGCTGAAATGAGTGCTTGTCAGCTACGAAGGTACATACATGTAGTTATAGTTTACATGGAGTGGCAATGAGTAGTCCCTGCATTCTCTATCTGTCATGAAGTTTACACTGACAGAGCAATACTCAGAATACTCCTGACATCCTTATATACATAAAATAGTGTATTCCTACATATACATCAACTATATGCTGATCTTAGCTCACTTCTAACCTAAATTTCAGGTGACATTTTATCTTCTTTTTTTTGTAAATTTCAGATACTTTTTAAAAGGTCCAAAATCTGGCCAATCAGAAGTGATTACACAAAATCTCCCAGGATACCCAGACAATATAAAACTGAACAGTCAGGGGAACTTTTATCTTGGATTGGGGTCAGTCCGGTACAAAGGAGTCAGTCGACTGGGTCCATTTTTAGACCTCATAGGTCCCTACCCTGCCATTAAGAGGTTTTTGACAAAGGTATAGTACTGCAAAATGTTTCTAAATTGTTTAAAGCAATATGAGCTGCATTTTTGAAAATTTTACTTTGCAGGTGAAACATGCTATTATGAATCATTTGTATGTAATTTAACCCTTATGACCAATAAGCCCAAAATAAAGTTTAAAAAATGTTTCAGAAGAAATATTTCTGTACAACCGAATACACAGTATTATATAAGAAATCATTATTGTACAGGACGACAGTAGTTCAATTTTGCTTCAATCAAAGCTTATAAAAAGTTCTTCCATCGCATAAATTACAACAAAGTTTATAAATGTTTTAATTTTCTGTCATTCAAATGGTTAATTACAAATTTGCAGCAAAATTTTCCAATGTCAAACATGCTGCTCATATTGCTTTAAGATTTCTATAAACATGTACATTTTCATGTATTAGTAAAAGTTAAAATTCTGTGGTATTTTTATGCTGTTAGTGATCTGCCCTTAGATTTAAAATGTAAAAATTCTTTAATTTTTGCTGTAATTTTTACAGAGAAGACATAAACAATATTACTGTCCTGACTAGATTTACAAGTCGGGTTGTATTCTCTAGAGGAATCTGCCCTTCATCAAGAGTTTACAACCACTATGACATTTCAGCAGTTTGTTCATTGATTTATTCTTCTATTTCACTCTCATGTCATGTAGATAAAAGTTTTTGACTTTTCTTTTCTCTCATTAAATATTTTAATGTACCTCCATCAGCATATTCATTTAAGGAATAACTGTCCTATTTTTCGAATTCATGAAGTGATCAATGGATTGGCTTGTGTGTTAATTTTCATAAACGCCGAAGGCGTTTATGCATAAAATTATCACACAAGCCAATCCATTGATCATCTTCATGAATTCGAAAAATCTGACAGTTATTCCTTATATTTACATGCTTTGATTCCGCCAATCCACGGGATCCAAGCCTGCTTCTCTCTAGGTGCTTTCCCGCCCTGCACGTGGTTTTTTTGGAACCGCGTCACTACATTGATGGGGAAATATTTACATTTCCAATGTCTTTGTCCGAGATAAAATTACCAATTGTAAATGTAATTGATTTCCTCATGAATGTTTTGGCGCGGTTCCAAAAAAACCACGTGCAAGGCGGGACAACACCTAGAGAGAAGCAGGCTTGGAGCCCGTGGATTGGCGGAATCAAAGCATGTAAATATAAGGAATAACTGTCTTATTTTTCGAATTCATGAAGATGATCAATGGATTGGCTTGTGTGATAAATTTATGCATAAACGCCTTCGGCGTTTATGCAAATTATCACACAAGCCAATCCATTGATCACTTCATGAATTCGAAAAATAAGACAGTTATTCCTTAAATAAATTACATTTACAATTGGTAATTTTATCTCGGACAAAGATATTGGAAATGTAAATATTACTGTATATATAATGCATGATCTGGGAGTCAAATTACATGAACCATCAACATTGTTGAAAATAAGAACTATAATGCAGGTGTGTATACTCTATGCAGTTAAACCTTATTTTATTTGATTGGACTCAAAACAAACTTTGAGACATCCATCTTTGTTCGAGATACCAGGTTGTTTCTTTCAGATCACACCTTTAAGAGTCTTTGACGTCTTTATGCCAAAACATTCCATAATATTAGAAATCGACACAGAAGGAAACATCATCAGCAGTCTACATGATTACGGAGCCAATGTCATAAAAGCCTCAGGGGAGGGGTTTGAATTTAACAACACCCTGTACATTGGAAGTTTTTGGACTCCTTACATAGGTGTGCTGAACTTGACTCTTGTGAAGTAACTTTAGTTATAGTCTTTACTATACAACCAAACAACTGTTAATACATGTAACAGTCTGACCCTGTATTTTATCCAAACAGACTTTATGACATTCAACTTGCAATACATGTCCATTACATATATGTGCCAATATTTTATTTATTACATAAATTTCATTAGCATCATCATCACCATGTTACAGCATTCATTACCATCATGCATCAAACTGTAACTGCTTAAAGCTGTGTTTACCAAATATAATATGCATAATAATTATAAAATAAATGAGAAACAACTGATGATTTTTGTTTTGTTTTTATTGTTTTTTTAACAGTTTTTCTTTTGTTGAAAGTAAGGTACAGAGAATTCAACAATATATGTAACAAGATCCATAAAGCTGTGGTTACTCTGATGATACAAGGTCATGTCATGACCTTTCAAGGTCATAATTTGACCTGAATTAATAATCAATGATATCGTTAACAAGTTCTCAACTGTAGTACATATACAATCTGTTAAACACTGCACACCAAAACAAAAATGTAAGGTGCCAAATTAAAGTGATAATTAATCAGTCATTCCATAATAAATATATGAGCCATTTTTTCAATTAAAGAATCATTCAATTACTTAGAGATCAAAGGTCAATGCTGTGTACTTTACAGCATTTGCAGAAACAAATTTTAATATATTCACATCTTCTGCTTATATGTATGATCACTAATATGCTAGCCTAATAGATATAGATGACTATAATATGATGATACACATATTTTTTCTCTCATAAAGATCAAGAAAAAGACCTAGCTAAATCCACCTCACCAACCCAAATACAAAATCAAACCCCGACCCAAATAAAAAATCAAAACCTGAAAATGTTGTGTTGTGTGATAACATCTGTACATGTTCCAATGAGGGAAAAAAACATGAATTTTGAAATTCGTAAAAATGGTAGATATTGACCACAAACGATGCAAATCATGAGTAAATGACAATAAATACAATAATAAATGCAATTCTATTTAGAATTTTACACTGGCACTCAAATAATTTTTTTCAATATATATATACATTACTCATATACAAATGTACTATAAATGTAGAATACTTCTATATGGTGTTTCTTTGATGGAAGTCATATACTAGCTAGCATGAATAGGCAGGACATGGTCGACATACAGTTCAAGTATGTTTATTGTACCGGGAATGTTATGCAAACTATATTCTACTGAAAGTGTAGTGTATTTACCTATAGGTGCTGCATAAAACATGTGGATGCAGAGTAGCATCCAATGGTCAAAATAACACAGTGACAGTGTACTTAAACACAGCTGAAAGTAGAATATCAAGATGTTTTCTATCAAAAAAAAGGACCTTGGGGTATGAGGAATTTCTGACTGATTTCATTTTTCATTATCTGTCTGGCATCTAGAAATTTTCTTCTTAATTCGAGGACACCTGTTCAGAAGGGAATGTAAACAGGCTCCCTTCTCCTGTGTCCTATATAAACAAAACTCCAATGGCTCGTTTATACATCAGCTGATTTCAGCATATTTTCACCCCCTAGCTGGTTGCCATGAAAAATGGCAGCCATTTGCTATTTACCAGACAGATAGTAAAAAAATTCAAATGGTGATCCAGTAAACATATTTGCAATTTTTATATATATATTTATAAAAAGTATCAGAATGATGAATCTGCTTAAATTTGAACTATATTGCTGTTAATGTATTCTGTACCTTTTTTTTAACAGTTTATATTAGTATATTGACAATATACATGTTCTGAGTGGAGAGAAGGCACTTTCAATTAGGGAAACATCTGCTGTACAAATAATAAATAAATCTATTTTATCCGTATATTTTTTACGCTATGCAATTCCAAAGCCATATCATTTAATTATATTGAAGCATAGTGTTTTGTGTCAACAAGATGTTGCAATATTACAAGGGGGGTCTTTTTCTACCAGTAAGTATTTGTGGACACATTTTTCATTTACTGAATTTTCCCTTGACATCCTATCCTAAGACATATATCTACTCCTGCTAATAGATGGGTTTGGTATAGGTATATAGTTACTGAGAACTTTGGCATCACATGCACCTGGAACACAGCTAGGGTTGACACAGATTTGATCTGCATCCAATATTATGCCAAATATTTTTGCTGCTATACTATTCATGTGATTAAGTTGACAGATATATTTGAAGTCCACCTTTTTTAATTCTTTTAAAATTTGAATATAGGATGTAAATGTTGAATGCGTGGTGGCAAAAATCACTTGAAAGGCATTTGGATGATATTATGTGAAGTTTACATAAGGTGTACATATAATTTTTTCCAGAGAAAAATATCACATAGGCATGATCTTTAAGTGACGCAATAAATTTGCAGTAAAACACAGAGCTGCCAACTTACATATTATACATATTTGATTGTGCAAGACAGAATTATAAACCCAGTTTGATAATTATAAAAAATAAAACATTAATATCTACTCTTAATTAATATCTCTTAATATCATTTAACCAAGTTACACACTGAGTAGTGTCCCAAAATTTGTGGCCAATTTGAATCTGTCGGTTTTGTATTGATCTATATTTTTAGCTAAATAGAGACATTTTGGGGGTTAATTCATAGCCCTTCTATTTTTTTTTTCGCCAGCTACAAATTGATAATAGATTCCATTGGCACCTCCATGCATTTAATGTTACATGTACATGTAATACTGAATGATAATGCAGGATAGGGCTTCTACCAGAAGAATAGGTATAGCTCTAAAACAATGAATTAAATCCATGTTGCCCTAAAAAAAATCACCTACAGAGAAATGGAGACAGCACTTATAGTTGATCTATACAATGATGAGTATACTTCAAATTTAACAATGTTTTATATTTTTTTTTCAGCATGACTAGTCTCTGATGCATGCCTATTATAATCTACATCTTATATATAATATAAACACTATACATAAATAATGGCCCTGACAGCCATTTACAGATGGGAATCAATTGTCTCCAAGCCAGTTTCAAACACAAAATAGTAAAATAAACATCACAGTGATTATTTTTTTGGACTTTTCATCTCCAGATTGGGAATGAACATTTACACATTTAGGCACTACACTGACATAATGTCCACATCATATCAACACCCGAGGTACGAAAGAAATTGAATCCAATGAGTTAGAAAGCCTCATTTTGATTGATTCAGTTCTGCACATAATGTAATGAGGCTCCCTGATTGGACAATTTTATATCACATGACAAGAGCACCACATCCTCTTTGGAGGCATCACAACCGTATGTACAAATCATGAAGACTGGGCCAGCGGGTGATCAGCCCCGGCAGGACGGATGTACGAGTCCCTTTTGCTGCCAGCAGCTTGGTGTTTCTCGATTCGGAGTTCTTTGAGTCTTTGCTGGACAATCTTCTTCATGAATTTATACTTGTGTTTGAGTTCTGTTAGGTACTCTTGTTCTTCCCTGTCTAACACTCGAAGGAAGTTACTTAGCTCGGGTAAACTGAAGGCCTCCCACTGCAAAGAGAAAATATGTGTTAACGGTGCATCAAAATGAAAATAAAGGGTAACAATATTTATCATACTTGTTTGTATAGCAGAATTCAATTTCCTTCTGATTTTTTGAGTTTTGTGTTTGAACTTACATCAATGAGCATCATCTTGACAGTTAAGTCATATATATACCATTATAAATTAAACATGTATGACAGAAACTGTTATAGTAAATGTTTATTAAGGACAGACAGACAAACCAGATGATAAAATCACTGATTCAAATATATCTTGGGTGTGTTCATTTCCTTGAACATCAAATATAAAACTGATACAAGAAGAATCAACAAGAAAAACAAATTCTATCTACTCCCAACATACAAAGCTATAGATAAGCAGTGATTTCTTGCTGTGTATCAAGCTAATCTGCCAGTAAGTAAATGACTAAACAAATCCAGCTTCTTTGTCTCACACTCATGATTTAATGAAAATCAAGAATGATTTCAAATATCATCAGTAAAACATATATTGTTTAATTAGCATTGCACTGATACCTTACATATCAGTGCATTTTTTTTCAATATTTCACCCCCAAAAATTTCTATAATTCTGGAGAAAATCCAAATGTATTTTTGGCATGCTTCAAAACTGCAATCATATCGTATGTGCAAATGGAAATTTGTACTTTCTGATCAATGACTTCTCCCCTATTACTTCTGATATAAGGAATACCCCCTGTTGTGATCTGAGGTTACTGACAAGCTATGAGGATTTCCTAATGCTAAGATTTATAGCTTCATTGAGCCTTTATCTTGATTGTTGTCTGATCAATTTGTTTTGGACAGGTGTCCAAAATCTGGCATTCCAATTCCTAAATGCTAATAAAATCTCTGTTTTCACTTTCAATTCTTCTACGAGTCAACAAATGAAAACTCAAATTCTCAAAACTGCAAGAAAAATTCTAAAAATATATCTCTGACATGTATATATTTATATTAATAAGAACTTCTAACTGCAGTCTGTAAACTTTTGACAGCTTTATACCACTAAAATGAATTTCTGAAGAATTAACTTGCCCTTTACATGTACATGTATGCTATTACTGCAACATTAAAAAAGTTTTGCAAGGGTATTACAAATTTCTGATAAGTTCAAAATTTGTGGTCAAAAAAAAATTCTTACATCAATTTCACCATTTTCGTTTTCCTGTAAAACAAAACGTGTTCTGTCTATTCGGTCCGAGTCCCAGAGTAATGATACGTGGAGCGGGAATTCCGTCTCCTGGATCCGACGAAGCTTGGCTAAAAATAGATAAATAACATCATTATTTATACATGTACATAATTTCACTAACTAGATGTCATATAAAGCTCAGATATCAGAGATTCACCAATAGATTTTTGTTACAGGTATTTCTGATAAGAGATAAAGTGGTTTAATGAAAATACAAGCATAGACCTCAAGAAATCTGTCATTGAAATGCCCTTTTGACTTTAATAACGAGACTACAGGCCTTGAAAAAGTAACATTTCTACACAAACAACTTTGTTTGAAGAGTCACTGATATAAGAAATGAGAATTACTGGTTTCTGGTTTCACTGTAAGCGAATTCTATCAGCGGATGGTTCATTAACCTTTCATATTAAGTGGTAATACTTAATACATGTAGTAGATGATGGTGTATGAGGTATCAAACCTAGCTTAAATCAGGCTTTTTAAGTAAGGTCTTATGGTACAGAAAACTTTCAGAATTTATCTACTCATTAAAATCTACAGATAATATCAAGTCATAGCTACAACCAGCCAACTAGATTACAATTTTCATATTTACAGTAAGTCAACTATTGAACTGCTGACAAAAATAGCTGGAAAAATCATTGCTATAAAAATTCATCTGTTTTATTTCTGTGAGAAATTTCTCTTTGGTTCTGATAGCTAACTCTCAAAAGAAAATCCTGTGTTTTGTCTTTACTTATACATCATAAATTCAATGTTTTTCTACAACCTTAACTACGTCAGTATTGCGTCAATGACTCTCAAAGTCTACCACGGCTGTCTGTTACTTCCATTTTTTTTTCTTCAAAAAATTTTAAACATTATTCTAACCTTGATAGGTTCCTCAGATTATTCTATTTATATTCTTTGTTTTTATCTTTGAGGTACATCATGCAACTTATCATTATCAAGGAAATTTATCAAACAAAGGCATATTTGAGACTGATGGTGGTCTGATATTTTACAGTCATACAAGAACTTTCAATCCCCATTTTGAATACCATGTTATTTCTTACACGTACTAGTATTTTGCAAATTCTAGAGCTGCATGTACAAAGATGCTGTAACAATTACCTTGAATTCTTTTCATATTGAACTGGATCATCTTAAAATATTTTCACATAACAAACTCTTTCATAAAAAGTTAGATCCACCTACCTATTTTGCCTTTCTCATTCAGCTCTTGCTCATACAAGGCAAATTTTCTGGGATTGTCTAAAATATGGAACTTTTTCAACAACATGGAGATCACGTCCTTTGTAGTTTCATCACTGTTATAAGAAATAACAATATCAAAATGTGAACAGTATTTTCTAATGACATCAAACTGCATCCACAGTACACATACAGTAAACATGTATGTTACTTATTTTTCTTATCAGAACAAAATATCTCAATTTTTAAATTTAACACAAATTAGCTCAGTTAAGCTAATGGATTCAACACAACAACAAAATCAATTTGGTCCAAATACAAGCCCCACTGAAGTTTTCTGTTAGCTTCAAATTTATATATATGTGGGTTTTGCTTAAGTCATATTTTATATAAAATAGGAATAATTAACTTATGTATTCAAACTCTTGGCCAATAACTCAAGCCTGGATGACCAGTGTACATATTTTAGTATTTCCATTTATTGGTCCCTTACCTGGTTATATGAATAGACTTGACTGTGTCACGGGGCATGTAGAACGAAATAGTCTGGGTGTTCTGTTCTACGATGTGCTCATTGGTCAGGAGTTCGTAGACAGAAGGGGGTCGTGCCCCCAGAGACATACAGATAGGTCGTACAAGGTTCAAGGTCACTTTCACAAAACCCTGGAAAGTTTCACCCTTCTCTGTATGCTGCAAGAAGTAAAAAGAAATTTAAGTAATTACATTAGTAGTTAGATTCTACCATCCTTACATTGTTAAAAGAAAATATTTGATCAGATTGTTTCAACTGAGAAAAGACAGCATATATTGTTCAGACTAATACCACAGGAGAAAAGAACTTCATACAGTCATCTGAGAAGATGACAGGGATAGAGTGATGACACACTATGTGTTACAGGAAAATCAGATTTCTCCAGCCAATATTAGAAAGGATGTTATGTACTGGGTTAAAATAATCAATATGACATGATAGAGTCAGACTGACTCATCAAAGAAAAAGGGGTTCTAATGCTCTCAATTTATAACTCTTCAAGTCTGTCAGGTATTTCAAATTAAAATACTTTCTGGCATTTTCTTTTTTTACTATTTTCTAGAACAGGATATGAAAAATTTTATTGCATTTAGGAATGCTTTCATTTAAGTTTAAAAGCAATGAAGTTCTTGTTATTGGCAATATGATATCTTAACATAGTATAAAAAGTTGGGTAACCAAATAAAAAAAGTTAATTTAAGAACTATTTAGCATAATATATAGTATGTCAGTCTTTTTAGTTTAGCTTTCAGTTTCATATGCAGAGAAGCACTGAATTAAAGTTGTACACTTGAAATTTTAATGACGTGTATTACATGTATATAATGTACTGTATCAAACACCTGATGGGGGAGACCACACTTACTGGACCAGGGAGAACTCATTAGGTACATTTATTCAGGTGCTTGTCCATTAGATGGTAGGATTTTCACACTCGGTGAAGCTATTCCAAGTGATTCACCACATGGTGTATTTTGGAGAATCTCCAAGACTTATTTTTCCTGTATGATAACTTGTAGACATTCTATAGCCTCCATCTTCTGCCAAGCAATGTTTGGTTAATCTGAAGATGGGGCATTGGAGCACCAACAAGGCAACAAATAACCCCATACAATTCATAAGATACCTGTGTATATCTGTGCTGTTTGACTTATTGCTTTCAAGTAAATCAGAAATGAAATTCTAACATTTCACACAGATTCCTTAATAATCCTGGCAAAGATGCAATCCAAGTTGCAATCATGTAGTAAACTTATTTTGACATATATAACCCAATACATTGCAAACCAAACCATGTAGTTTTCAAGATAGATTGATCTAAGTGGAATCATAAATAAACAGAATGTATGAAAGTTATTTATGTCAGATGAAATCTTTGTGACATGGAGGTTACACACACTAACAAGCAAGCTTTTAACTGACTCAGACACCCCATATGTTTATCGTTGACTCTGTCTGCCTGTTTGTGGGTTTGTTCACCTCTTTACTTTTTTTGAAACATCTGTCTTCCTTCTAGGGTTCCCCCAGAAACAAAGACAACCACAGGAACTCGACACAGAGATTGACAAACCTTCAGACTCACTATGATGTGTATGATTTATCCTGCATCTTAACAAGAAATCTACCAGTGCATTGTCTGCATTCCACTCAATGCATGTGCCGCATGTTGGCAGTACTAAACATGATTTTTATTGTGGAAAAAGAATTCTTCAAATATATACCTCAGACTTCTTCCAGATAATAAAGAGAAATTTTAATTAAATCACTATAAGCCAATGTCTTTACATTTTTGTACCTTTTTGTCTTTGTGGATGAAAATCTAAACATGAAATTGTCTAAGGTTTGGTAGTTCAGTTCGAAAGTCTAGTATAAGCACTAATTCACATGCACGCTAATTGCTCTTATAAAAACTTTCATCTCTTAAATCATATTAAATTAATAATTCATTTATGAGACATTTTGATTGAAAGATTAGAACATTAACATCTTATCTTCTCAAAAACTCCTCCTTTCAAAATAATTTACAAATATATCAAAACAAACTGATTGCCAGGATCACCTGTTTAACAAGTGGTCGGTTTGCAATCCAAAATTTTTTTTCAACTTTTATATCTTCTTTGAGTTAAAGAGAGATAAATTTTAACTTTGGCATGTTATCATAAAAATTCTTTTTTGTGCCAGAAAAAAATCTCTCCTACCAGCCATCATTAGTTCAATGATCTTGGTTACTTTATCTAATCCCAAAATTCTATTTCTACAAAGATTTCTAAGAATCTTAAGCTCTGAGTAACTTAAAAGTTTAACAGCTTGGGATTTTCTGAAGTTTTAAATGATCACATCTAAATTTCTGAGAATCAATGAATTCACTTCTCAATATCCTGTTCATTCATTTTTCTTTTTATTTAAAATAGAGCCATATTAACATCATTAAAATTGACACAAGCTTCATTCACTCACTAAGGTCTCATCTTAAACACCTTCACAATAGACAAGGTGACCTTGAAATGCAAGGACAAACAAAATATCAGCTATCTAAATTGCCATCATCTCTCTCATTGAAACCTAAACCTTTAATATCACAATTTTGGCAAATGATTTAAGTCTCCAACAAAATTTACATTTCATATCTCTATTTCAATCCCCACCCCAATTCTTTACTGGTAAATGCAAGAATCAAAAGTGGTTACCAGTTTTCCACATGTAACACTTACTAGTTTGAAGTCTGCCCCTGGCACCAGTGTATTGTATTCCTCTAACTTCTGTACATGTAACACTTACTAGTTTGAAGTCTGCCCCTGGCACCAGTGTATTGTATTCCTCTAACTTCTGTACATGTAACACTTACTAGTTTGAAGTCTGCCCCTGGCACCAGTGTATTGTATTCCTCTAACTTCTGTACATGTAACACTTACTAGTTTGAAGTCTGCCCCCGGCACCAGTGTATTGTATTCCTCTAATTTCTGTACATGTAACACTTACTAGTTTGAAGTCTGCCCCCGGCACCAGTGTATTGTATTCCTCTAATTTCTGTACATGTAACACTTACTAGTTTGAAATCTGCCCTCGGCACCAGTGTATTGTATTCCTCTAACTTCTGTACATGTAACACTTACTAGTTTGAAATCTGCCCCCACCAGTGGCACCAGTGTATTGTATTCCTCTAACTTCTGTACATGTAACACTTACTAGTTTGAAATCTGCCCTCGGCACCAGTGTATTGTATTCCTCTAACTTCTGTACATGTAACACTTACTAGTTTGAAATCTGCCCCCGGCACCAGTGTATTGTATTCCTCTAACTTCTGTACATGTAACACTTACTAGTTTGAAATCTGCCCTCGGCACCAGTGTATTGTATTCCTCTAACTTCTGTACATGTAACACTTACTAGTTTGAAGTCTGCCCCCGGCACCAGTGTAAGTCTGTATGTATTGTATTCCTCTAACTTCTGTACATGTAACACTTACTAGTTTGAAGTCTGCCCCCGGCACCAGTGTATTGTATTCCTCTAACTTCTGTACATGTAACACTTACTAGTTTGAAATTCTGTACCCTTACTAGTTTGCACCAGTGTATTGTATTCCTCTAACTTCTGTACATGTAACACTTACTAGTTTGAAATCTGCCCTCGGCACCAGTGTATTGTATTCCTCTAACTTCTGTACATGTAACACTTACTAGTTTGAAGTCTGCCCCCGGCACCAGTGTATTGTATTCCTCTAACTTCTGTACATGTAACACTTACTAGTTTGAAGTCTGCCCCCGGCACCAGTGTATTGTATTCCTCTAATTTCTGTACATGTAACACTTACTAGTTTGAAATCTGCCCTCGACACCAGTGTATTGTATTCCTCTAACTTCTGTACATGTAACACTTACTAGTTTGAAGTCTGCCCCCGGCACCAGTGTATTGTATTCCTCTAACTTCTGTACATGTAACACTTACTAGTTTGAAGTCTGCCCCCGGCACCAGTGTATTGTATTCCTCTAACTTCTGTACATGTAACACTTACTAGTTTGAAATCTGCCCCCGGCACCAGTGTATTGTATTCCTCTAACTTCTGTACATGTAACACTTACTAGTTTGAAGTCTGCCCCCGGCACCAGTGTATTGTATTCCTCTAACTTCTGTACATGTAACACTTACTAGTTTGAAGTCTGCCCCTGGCACCAGTGTATTGTATTCCTCTAACTTCTGTACATGTAATACTTACTAGTTTGAAGTCTGCCCTCGGCACCAGTGTATTGTATTCCTCTAACTTCTGTACATGTAACACTTACTAGTTTGAAATCTGCCCCCGGCACCAGTGTATTGTATTCCTCTAACTTCTGTACATGTAACACTTACTAGTTTGAAATCTGCCCTCGGCACCAGTGTATTGTATTCCTCTAACTTCTGTACATGTAACACTTACTAGTTTGAAATCTGCCCTCGGCACCAGTGTATTGTATTCCTCTAACTTCTGTACATGTAACACTTACTAGTTTGAAGTCTGCCCTCGGCACCAGTGTATTGTATTCCTCTAACTTCTGTACATGTAACACTTACTAGTTTGAAGTCTGCCCCCGGCACCAGTGTATTGTATTCCTCTAACTTCTGTACATGTAACACTTACTAGTTTGAAGTCTGCCCCCCGGCACCAGTGTATTGTATTCCTCTAACTTCTGTACATGTAACACTTACTAGTTTGAAGTCTGCCCCTGGCACCAGTGTATTGTATTCCTCTAATTTCTTCTTTAACTCCTCCCTGTTTAGAGTGGCCTGGCTTGGTTTCCGTGGTAACTTGTCGTCGGGGATTGTCCCTGATCTGTAGCCACTGTCTGTCTCGTCCTTCTCCTGCAAAAATCAACCCTTACATTTACCGAAATCAGTCACACACAAAAGATGCTATTCATTAAACTTTTTCTTGTAATCTTAACACATTAAGAAAGGAATTGGCATATGTTAAATCCTCAAAACATATAGCACCTCTTCCTCAAATTTCATTTTTCACTCTCTAGCATATAACTTTCTACAAATTTAAATTACATAAATAATCTATCAGCATTGAGTTAACTATTTTTTTTAACAGAACATTTTGAAATTTATTTTTGCACTATTTAATCATATTTCGATCGATAAAAAAATTTCCCCAGAACATGCATGCAACTGATTTCCAATAACCCTCTGCTGAGTATCAAATCTACTTCCCCAGGCCCCTGTGAATTTTATCTGACGTACATTAGCGGCCTCCGAGGTAGCCTCGCTGCTGGCGCTCAGGTTAACGTCGGAGACACTGGGAAGTCCCTCCACTTCCTGGGAGGAGTCGTCTAGAGGAAGTCCGTCGGGGGAGTGTTTACACGGAAGACGCACTAACTGGGCACACTTCTGGTGGCTTGTAAAATGACAATCTGTAAAGATTAAATCATCCAATTTTATATCTAATGTGTTTCTGGATCAGATTAATGAATGCAAATTAAAATAGACAAAAACTGCCTCTTATTGAGACAAAAAAAATTGAATTCATTCCTTAATAATTACTGTAAATCACTTTTTAATCATGAGAACTTTATTTTCTCGTAATTACGTGAGACAGTGTGTTCGCAAAAATTTAATTCTTGCGTATAATAGCATTCCTTAAGATTATATAGAGCAATAACCACAATTCATGAAAATTTTGTCTCGCTAATCAAGAGTCAATGACTATCTCGCGAAAATAAGGTGTCACGAAAATATAGTGATCTACAGTATTATGAAAGAGCTTTTATACATCTAGTTTAAATTTAATGAACTTTACAAAAAATGAAAAAAGGCTAATCATGCTAATTATCCTTTTCTTCATTTTTGGAAGTGATCATAAAGAGTGTAACATTAATCAAGTGATTGTAATGACTGCCTTCTCTTATGTATATTATCGCAAAATTTACTTTTTTTAAAATATTTGCGAACAAAAAAAGTCGAGTAGTGCATGATTCATTGATCATTAGATTTATTAGTTACGCGTATCAATCCAAGTCATACTATCCACAAAATCAGATTATATGTTTTCAAAAAATTTGTGAATATAACTCTATCAAAAAGATATATTCCAAGTGCATCAGATATAATTACATGTATTTTACACAGATAACTTATAATTAAATTCTAAAATACATTCTGTGCATTTTCAACATTTAAGTGATGATAAAACTATGGCATTCACTCTTTTTTTTTTAAGATTTGTGTTTCTTTTTTTTTAAACGTCGGCGATGTGTATTGCAGCTGACCGACTTTAGCGTTATGGGAGAGACGCGATCTCGGTTACGTCCTTTGATGAACTTTGTGATTTTGATTTATTCAGGTGTTATCAATTTCAAATATACATGTAGATCATAAATATATTCTAGAATGCTGTTATGCAGGAGTGTCAGCTTGCTTGACATTCAGAAACCTTATTGAATATAAAGCTACAGCTAGTTGAATTTAAGAACTATGAATTCCACTCTCTAGCTAAAGTTTGTATTAACGTAAAAGTCAACACTGTAATTAATTTGTACAGTCAGCTTTCTGGAATGGAAATATGTAAAGCAGACTTCATCTAATTACAATAACGGCACCAAATATGGTAAATGAATTCGGAGTGTAATTAATGCTGCCCCTTCATTAATGAACAAAAATAACTAGAATATGTCATTTATTATTCACTAATGTCAACCATTTAGTGGTGGCACATTCTGAGGGCACAGTGTTCCCATATGAATTTATTATTCCACTCTAAATCATTTAAGGCTTTTATAAGAAAAACCATTGCATGTATATGTATCAAGTACACATGAAACACATGAATATACGTAAAACGATACTGGCCCCATTTCATTGACTGGATATTAAGACGAAATTCCAGACTAGACAACATTTCAATCAATGGAATTCAATAAAAGAAAAGTTTACATTGTACATCTAGTTATAAGCAAGGTTTCAGAATATGCAATATCTTGGATAGACAAGTTTTACTGTGCTTTACTCTAATATATATTTCAATCTACTCTTGGATTTTAATCAACCAAGAAAAGATTTTCATGGACTGAGACACTCCTAAACTCATTTCAAAACAAGTGTATTAAGTTATATGCCCTCCATTAGGCTACTGTATTCATTTTGCTCAGTTACCACTGGTGATTAGTGGCACAGACATATACAGTAGCAGAGAAGTATAGGGAACATCTGTTAACACATAACCGTAGATACAGTAGTTCAGTTAGTGGGCTACAGTGGCTGATACTTGAGATGGCTGAATAAAACAGGACAGGACAAACTATTTACATATCTATTTTTTTTCTAAATACATGTACCGGTATGTTTCCTCATGTGCATTGATTATAAGTTACAACACACAATATTGAATGTATATGTCTGTATAACAGTCTTCTAATCTAACATCAGACTGTGTTTTTGATGGGGTTTCCTGTAAACAGATAACCTTGCATACCCCTGTGTCTACACAGATTCCAGTAACCCAATTAATACACCAAAAATAAACTCACAGGCAAAATAAAAATAAAGATTGCAGAGCTTGTCTAAGAATGAACTGTAAATCTAAGATTTGTTATAATAGAGAAACTGTGATGCTCCTTAGAAGAGACAGATTTCATGAACATAGCAGTGTTCTCTAATTGGCTGATGTCTTTTGGATAGCATTGTACTAGTATGCTGGTTTCTCCTAACCAAAGTAGGGCGTAATACCATATCGACTTGACAGGGAAGTCAACTTCCTAATCCAAAGTCCAAAGTTTGGGCTTTATTTCAGTCACTTTGTGTATGTCTCACTATAAAACCTGAAGATACCTATGTACTCTTATTACAATTGAAGGCAGGTTGTTCTAACTATAAAGCATACAACCATAAACCAGATTTTCCTACAACAAATAACCCTGGTGTCTCCATATCACTGTTCACCTATAAAGCTAGCCAGACAGATATTATATAACCTACTGATTAAACAATAGACGGTTCAATTACATTGTTCCAGACTCTGATATCTCAATATCAGGGAGACGTCACAGTGAATTAGCAGTTCCAACCGCTTATTCTTTATGGTTTTTTTTTTAATCCTAATTACCTCAAAAATTCAGTTATTTCATAGAATTTTATTCTTGGTTCCGTTGAGTTCAAAATATCAAGGTTTGACTGTAAATTGTTTACTTTGATTCAAAATATCAAGGTTTGACTGTAAATTGTTTACTTTGATATCCCATAAACGCCGAAGGCGTTTAATCCCTTGCAGATTAAAAATCCCCAATTAACCCAATTAACCACTTGAGGTATATTGGTTATGATAAACCTGGTGATTCAAGGTCTGTACGTATTGTAAACATGTAAACACCTAAACCTGTTGACAGATTCCTTCAAAGAAACATAAAATCTGATAAGAAACTCAAACAAAGGAACAGAAATATATACAGCATTGTCTAAAGAGAACTGTCCATATAAAATTCTATTCAAGTTCTACAATACTAAAATAAGCTGATACACCTAGGTTCCAATAATGAAGCCAATTTAGGTTAGTCATTCAACCCACTTCCTCTGTTTCAGGAGAAATATGAATAAACCTATCAATTAATTTTAAAGTGCCTCCAGATCTAACATTATAGTCAGCTGGGTTCGTTCAGTTCAGTCTGGGGCATCAAGAGAGTTCATACTTATATCTGTATATATAATTACTTATGTTGGTTTACTGGTCTCTGGTCTATACATCTTTTCATAGAATATTTTACTAATATCATTGTATTCTTTTTTCATGAAGTTTTATCATGTTTATTGGACATCAAAAATGCAAAAAAGAAAAAAAAAAGACCAATTATTTTCCTCAAAATTAACATTTAACTAATTGAGGTATAACATATGAGCTACGAAAATCCCTTTTTTTTCTGAAAGAAGCTTATATTTAAACTTAACAAAAATGCTTGTAGCGGAAAATGACAGCAATGGTCACTAATTATAAAGTGCATAGATCTCATTTATACCTTGCTAGTATACATTTTACAAAATTTTACACCTTGAGCAATAACCATAATGGATTAAATTTTCTCATCATTGCAATTCAACTAGTACCCCCTTCGACTTTTTTCTGTAGCTGGTTTGAGAATTACCAGACATTTTTACCATGGACATGCTAGATGCCAAAGGCACCTACCATAAAATCGAGAAAGAACAGCCCTAATTATAGAGCATCATCAATGAACCCCTCCAAACGATAATTACACACTAGATACCCACTTACTCCATTAATGTCAAATACTTAATCTAATCAAAGGAGCTTCAAAGAAAGGATATGACCCCATGACCCCACTTATAAAATGCATCTTGGTCCACAAGGAATTTTGAGGGCAGACACCTGTATTTATAGAACACTGTACAATAATTTATCTGTTATTCATTGTATTTAACCTTGAAATGAACTGGAATAATGTGATTTACTTTAATAACTGTTGTCTACACAAGCCTAGTTAGTTCCAATAGACAAGCATTTCTTAATTGTCACTATACTCTTCATCAAAATTGTTCTCCAAACCACTTCAAAGGCATGTAATATTTTTAACTTAAATATTTTTAGAGGATTTCTTCTGCAGAAAACTGCCATGGAAACCAGACAATTTATTTTTTGTAGGCATGTTAGAAGACTACTGCAATGTAACAACACAGCCATGCAGACTTGACAAAAACTGAAATGGTACATACAACCAGTAAAATGACTGGAACCACTTATACACTCAGGCCTAACTGGTACCACAGGGCAGCATGTGGGAGACCACAGGTGGTGGTGCCTAAAGATCTGTATCTGATAAATGTACACCTTAAAGCCATTAGGGTAGCCATTAAGAAAATTAATCACTGTACCAAGATTATGCAATATTTATAATCTGATAACCATCTGAGACTTACTCTCATTATTAATGAAGATGATTTGTAATTTCTGTAATACTGTTGCATGTTTTTGATGCATCAAGTGTTTGTCTTTGATGATATCAAGTTAGTTATATGATCTGATTGCAAACACCTGAGTTTACCTATGTAATTTTTTGTAATCATATGTGTGTGCAGATAAGCAGTTTTTGAATGGGTCCCCTAGGGTGCAGCATTATCTCTGAGATTAGGGTGAACATTTAACACATTAGAATGATTGACTTTTCCTGATTCTACCTGTGTTTGCCTCAGCTGTTAAGAATCACATCCTATCTGATACCTCTATTTACCTGTAGTCAATATGATGTAATAATCTTAGGTAAATAATACAGTCATTACAGAGAGGAAATGAATGTTCAGAAATTCCATAATCTCTCTCTCTGCATGCAGAGTAATGCCAAACCTAATTTTCATTTCAAGAATTTGTTAAGGATGCCTGAAGTTAATGGTAATACATGAAATAACTTGTAATTTATATTATGTAATGCAAATGTGTTTGCCATTCTGCCTGTAAGTATTCGTGTGCTGTTAATTGAATTATGCATGAAGTAAACTGCTGATTTAAACCCCGGATGCTGAACTTACCATGACTAGAAATTTGAGCACTTGGTTCTGAACATGAACACTTTGGTACATTGTTCACATCACTTGGTTCTGAGCAACATTGTACACAACCTGAAATATCACTTTGTGAACCTGAACAACTTAGTACATTGCTTTTATATTCCACAGTATTCTGAATACTGTTCACATTACTAGGGTCCGCAGAATAAAATCCAGTATCACATTCGGAGTATGTATGAACTGTGTTAAGACTTGAACAACTCCCATAATTCCCTGATATGTTCGAGGCTGACGTGGACCTCTTTTTGTTCAGATGACTGAATATATAGTCCCATTCTCCACCTGAGTTCCAAAGTCTGTGTTCACCAGCTTCCAGCATGGCATCGTATTTCTTTGTAGGGTCTCTATCACAGAGGGCTTGTAGTTCTGACACAATGTCACAGCCAGACTGTCTGTTAATCCTATCAATCACACGAGATCTTCGTTTTACCTTAAACGTCTGAAACTCCCTCTCAAACTCCAGAAAACTTGCATCATTGTCAAAAAACTCGGTAAACATATCTTCCTCTGGGTCATCTTCAATGTCACCTATAAATAACTCATCATCTAACACGATGGTTTTGTCGTCGTCATCGCTGCTATCACTGTCCTCGTCCCCGAACCTGTTCAGGGACAGTCGAAGCTTGTCCGCACTATTCGAGAATCTTTTACTTTTAAAAGTCTCAAACACTCTCTCAAACTCCTGGAAGTTTTCATCACTGTTGAAGAATTCCATTAACTGGTCTGTACTGAGTCGACTCCTTCGTGATTCGGCCGTGGCTTGTCTGGTTCTCCGCTGACACTCCGGACTGCTTCCCTCTCGTAATTCTTGTTTTAACACACGGAAATCTAACAAATCCTGCTTAAAATCCTCAAAGTCATCTTCATCAATGAATCCATGCCTCAGAGGTCTAAACTTTGGTGATGAAGCGATATCTTGAAAATTGAGTTTGAATATCTCTGACTGCAGAAAATTCCTGGCCGCACTAATGCGCTTGGATCTATTCAGCTTATTGGTTTTCTTACGGAATGGAAGGAATGATTCTCTACTATCTTCCATGCCTCACAGTGCCTGAGACATCCACTGAAGTTGAGCTGAATGAGCACATCATAACACTTGCTTCAGAGCTCTCCTGTTGGGAAGGGGGGATTTTATCTCTGGGGATAGATTAAATACAAAGCTTTGGAGGCTTGTAACACCAATCACTGACTACTGATTCCCTATCTCACCAGCATATCAACAGAAGATGCTAAATTTAATGGATCCTGAAGCAAGTCTAAAAATACCTGATTAAGACTAGATAATTTCTGTAGCTCTATATTTCCCCAAAAAACTTTTTTTCCTATTTCCCCCTGAAACTAATCACTTACAGTGTGTGTCAATTAGAAATCAAAGTTGTTTTTTAACACACACTTCCCTCAAAGATAAAACTCCAATACATGAATCATGACCTGAAGCAAGGATAAAAGCTAGCCTTACAAACAGGAATAGAACAGTCCAACATACCAGGTGGAATTTCCTCAATCTCCGTCACCCATCACGATTTGCCTGGTCGAGTATAACACTACAAACATGTCACACACATACACTGACTAGTACCACCCTAATTAATACACAGTTCCTTCTTTCACCTCAACAATACACAACCAATTACTAAAAGTCATCAATCTTCCTCTCATTTGCTGAATCAACAGTATACACTTATCCAGGCTCCAACATTCGAAGATGAATAAAGAGTTTTTAATATGCACCGATATAATGTTAAGATTCACACTCTCCTAGTGCTGGTAAGATTTGTAAGCTGCTACAAAGCTGTAAGTCCTCCTTATTACTGTGTCTCAGTACACAGTCAGGCCAGTCTGCTGTCTGTGATGCTAATGTAGTCTGACAGATCCCCCTCCTTGTAATGTTATGTCATCCCCCTTAGCTTTCCTCTAACAATAACAGGCACAGTGTGTTACATCACATTCTCCAACACCAGATGTCCTACCAGCTCTCCTCTGTGATTGGGTACCCTGCGGACAGTTTATAAATCACAGTTTGCAGAAGAAATGGACAATAAGCAGAGTTTCTCTCAATTTTATCCTCATAAAAAAAAAACCTTACTCTGTAACAGGAAATCTGATCCACTAATTAATAATGACTTTCAGATTATTTTGTTATCCTCATGTACCAGCTAATACTATGGACAAAAGTATTTTTAGAATATCCTTGAATCAGTTCTAATGATTGCCTTCCAGACTTCCCTATTTCACCAGATTACAGAGTTCTGGAGATCACAGGACCGTGGCTGCCTCAGACTTCACTAGCGTTCTTTTGATGAGGGCACCTTGTTAACGAACTAAGATACTTTTACCTGATTGACTGTCACTCTAGCTATAAATATCCATCTGTCTAAGACTGCACACATGGGTTATAATAGTTAATGGGAAGAATATTCCTCAGCAGAAAAAATGTTCTTAATCAGCAAAAAAATTTCTTATTATATTGTTTTCCACAGATAAATTCCAAAAAAAAACAACACATTCTCTTTTGTTAATTAAAATCCTTCGGGTTTAAACTCTGTACACATATAATCAATCATCTGATTTTTTCCATCTGTTGAGATAAAAAATAAAACCCCAGCACCTAGTGTTATCTTGTGATGTCACTGCTATTAAATGAGAATGGTTTCAGGTAAACACCTTAGAAAGGTAACACTTATGTGCTTCTCTTCGAAATCTGACACAGTCCCAAACAGGTGAATCACTCGGATCAAGCTTTACCAGTACATAAACACGCCAGTCATTTTGTTTATTTAAATCCCACGAGAATATCAGCTGGAGAAGGTATTATCTTTAAACTACGGACATAGATTTAGTTCAAGAGAGAAAACCTTGATGTGGCTCTATGGAGAGCTTTTCTACATCTCACCCACACTAGATCACCTTGAAAGTGAAACTCCAGATTTAAAAATTTTTACGACATACAATGACACCTTGACACAAAGACCTTTGTTTAAAATTTAAAACTGCCAGAGTTATCTACTCTTTTCATGGGCAACCAATAAAACAGAAATTTTGAAAATCATTTTCTCTCACAAATATATTTATAAGCCCTAAATAATACATTCTGTCCTGACTTTATATATGATGTGAACAATCAAGACAAAATTTAAGGAGTGTTTGGGCATTGTATACTTTTTAAAATGAACTGTGTGTCCTTTCATATTGTGTTATTGTTATGGACTTATTTTCCATTCTATAGAATTAAATATCTTAACGCTATATTCATGTCATTCATCTGTACACCGACAGTGGAATTTCTCCCACTAAAACCTATAAATACCATGAAGAAACACTATTTCTTCTGAGCAATAGGGCAATTTTTTTCTTCAAAACAGGGATTATAATCATTTCTAATTAAAGGTTATATAAGTTTACATCTTTAAAATTAGAAGGAAGATAAGAGAGTAACTACAATAACTAATGTCTTTATTTGTCCCCTATTTGCCAGGACTATCAGCCTGTTAGTATTAATTGATTGTCACCCTTTGTGGTATGATTTCCCTCGGGGTCATGGGCCTGTCCAATACTCTACCCAAGGGAGCGAGACACTGATTTTTATCAGTAATAATGATGATAAGTGGCCAAGACACCTTCAATAATTTCACACCCTATATTTATTAAACAATATATTTCCATAGCAAACATCCAAATATTCATACCAGTCTTCTATCCACCTGTTCATGAAAATATATTGGAACCAATAATGACATTATGGCTAGCAAATGAATTTTCGGTACTGTGTACTGCTAAATATCTCTCAGTTTCTGTTTAAAATGGACATATTAAAAACATAATTTAATTTTGGTTATAACAAGTCATTTAATTGGATAAAAAAATTGAGGAAGAAATTGTCATTACTTTCAACACTTAGTGATGGAAAATTAACCCTCGGCAAGTTCTTCCAGTATAATTTGGGTAGCTAGTTAATTCATTCCTTAATTATTGAACATCAACAAAAAAGTAACAAAACAAATCTAATATGATTATCTTGATTTTTTTTTTTCTCTTTTCTATAGTAATTATATATATGCATTTTCATTTCAGAACCCTAGCTTGAAATATCTTTATACATAGTTAATCATACATTTTTTTAATAACTGTTTACATTTCTCTTAAATTTCAATGCATGTAAATGATTATGTATCATATAATGTTACGTATAAAATTCAGAATAACTTCACATTTAGCAGATAGACTCCCATCTTATTTGTGTTAAATAATCATTGTTGATATACTTGTAAACAAAAAAGCTCTATATTTTTTTTTTATGTGCAACAAATTAAAGACTAATTAATTAACTGCTTCAATCTTAATTAGAACACATATGATAGTTTAAGTGCAAAGATTAATATTTTTCTTGGATTTATATGGATATAGTAATCTGTAAGCTAAAATTATATGATAAAACATATCTTGGTGGTACATGTATAACTTGTATATACATGGTGTTAAGATTTTAAGACTAGCAGAGTTATCTTTCTTGGTTGTGCTTTATACACGTACTAAAGTACCTCACAGGTGCTTTTAAATGTAGCAGAAGTCTGAAAATAATGATTGAAAAAAGAACCTAAATTAAAATAGTACATTTCTTTGAATAAAACACTGTCAAGAAGGGAGAGTCTGACAAGACTTGTCATGTGTGAATCACAAAACAGACTGAAACCGGGCAGGCATATATAAAAATTTACCATTAGTACGTGACTGAAATCATGACTGTACTGGCCAAAATATTCTGTTTCTGCAAGTTATCTCCTTGTTGGTTTCTATTTTTTTTTCTAAATCCCTGCTCATGGACTCTCTCCTTGTTGCATTCAAGCAAAACAAGAGGCCAATGGGCCACATCGCTCACATGAGAAGCTTTGACCATTCTATTCTTTACCAGATTTCCCCCTTGTAATACATAATGCATCCCCACCCTACCCCACTGATCATAATTTAGACATTTTGACATTTACACTACCCCAGGATCCTTCCATGTGTACATAAGTTTCAGCTTTTCTGGCCCAGTGGTTCTTGAGAAGAAGATTTTCAAAGATTTTTCCTATATATTTCTATGTAAAACTTTGATTCCCAACTGTGGCCCCGCCCTTCCCCCGGGGGTCATGATTTGAACAATTTAGAATCTACACTATACCAAAATGCTTCCACATAAGTTTCAGCTTTTCTGGCCCAGTGGTTCTTGAGAAGAAGACTTTCAAAGATTTTTCCCATATATTTCTATGTAAAACTTTGATTCCCCATTGTTGCCCCACCCTTTCCCCAGGGGTCATGATTTGAACAATTTAGAATCTACACTACCCCAGGATGCTTCCACATAAGTTTCAGCTTTTCTGGCCCAGTGGTTCTTGAGAAGATTTTTTAATGACCCCACCCTATTTTTGTCTTTTCTTGATTATCTCCCCCTGTGAGGGGACTTGGCCCTTTATTTTAACAATTTAAATTCCCCTTCACCCAAGGATGCTTTGTACCAAGTTTGGTCAAAATTGGCCCAATGGTTCTTGAGAGGAAGTCGAAAATGTGAAAAGTTTACAGACGGACAGACAGACGGATGGACAGACGACGGACAAAATGTGATCAGAAAAGCTCAGTTGAGCCTTCGGCTCAGGTGAGCTAAAAAATCCTCTCAAGAAAAACTGTCTACAACACTGACAAATATGTCATTGAGACATTTTTGTACATTTCTAAAACTAGGTACTAAAGAAGTGATGAAAATCATCCAGTGTTGCAGATACCAGTATAAATGAACATTAAGACTTTTTAGATATGAGCATAAAATTAATATGCGTTTAATGTTGTGATTGCTGAAATGTCACTAGTTTGTTTTTTGCAGTAAACTTTTGCTTTTCAAGGTCCTTCACCTGTACTTTCTCTCAATATAGACATTGGTTTACTCAAAACTAACAAGAATATCAACTAGCTTGATCAGAAGACCATTGAAAACATTTTTCTTCTATCAATAACTTAGATGTGATGTATAGTGCAAAGATATTAATTATGTGTTATACCTAAACATTAAAAATGGCCATTACAAGAGAAAACTAGGCATAAAATATGATATACACTAAAAACAAATCATGAGATGGGATGAAAAAACCTGCTTCAAAGAAAACAAAGACTACAGCTTGCTTTCTGGTACAGGTTTACTTACGTAGAAGACAGTGCTTGAGATAGATTTTTGGTACATGAGTACTTACATTTACATCGTAGACAGTGTTTGTAGAGGCCCCATATAAAGTCCCCACACTCGTCACACCAGGTGGGGTTAGACAGCTGCTGGAGCACGAAATCGTGGCCCTTAATCAACAGCTCCACGTGTCCAAAGTGAGCCATCTCGATGTGGTCCCCAAACTCCACCCCTGTAGAACTTATATCCACCGCCTCTGGAACTTCTACACTCTTCCGCTTGGAGCCACCTATAGCCTCCATGAAGCTGGAGAAAACCCTGCCCCACCCCCATCCCCCTCCCCCGTTCACATTCCCGTACCCTGGGGTGGGCACCCCCGGGGCCTGTTCGCCTCGTCCTGAGACAGCCTGTTCCATCTGGTCATAAAACAAAGACTCCAAGAAGTCTCGGGCCATACAATGTCACATGTTGGCTTTCTGTCTCTGTACCGCTATCTGTAACGACATTGTAATACACCATTACAGGTTGACAGTCTATTAAAAAAAGTATATTCTATGAAGGTTTCATCAAAATGATCCATAAATGTTTAGAAGTGTTGCATGGTCATACATCCTACTGCCTTATCCATATTCAACTAAGTCACTGAGATTCAATTTTCTTTAACTTTGAACAGTTTTTATATGGAGGAATGTTAATTCCATAGTACATAAAACACAATAGATGTCCTGAATGTGAAACTAGATCTGTATAAATTATAGTTTTGTCACAATATCTCCAAGTACATGTTTTCATTCAGTACACGTATTATAAAATATGTCACACACATCTGATAATCATACAATAATTACGCAAAATGTAAACACACAACAAAACACTGTATCACATTGTCAATACACAAGTATGTTCTGGAACACATCCGTTT